TCCCCTATGTATATCTATTTTTATTTGTAAGTTATATGAATGTACTACTATACTTATTACACAAAACTAAAAATTACAGAAGAATGAGAGATAATGATGAAGTAATATTTATACCTAGAGTTGTCAATAGGGAGCCACTGGAGATTATTGAGTAGGAAAGGGACATAGCTGGACTGGTATTTCTTTACTAACAGTACATTCTAGCCAGATTGGCTATGAGTAGTTTCCTAAACTTGACATAACATCACCTACATTTGCAAAAGCTGTCCTGCATACCTGGAATGCATTCCTTCCTCATTTTTGTCTCATAAAACCTTGTCATCATTCAAGGCTTAATTTGGTGCCACTTTCTCTGTGATACCTGCCCTCTTTTCCCAAGCTCTTAATGTTTTCTTCCTCTTCGATTTTACTCGTCTGTATATGTGATATCTTTTAGTAGAACATAAGCTACTTGAGACTGCAGACTATTTCCTTTGTGTCTTTGAAACCCTAGGTTCTAGTACAGTATGCACATAGTAGGAGGTTAATAAAGTCTTGCTGAATTAAATTGACTGTCATTACTGAAGGTAGTCATTGATGGAAGAAAAGATGAGGAAAACAAGATGATGACAAAAATCTTTTTTTAAAATAAATTTTTGTTGATATCTTTGTTTTTTAAAGGGAAAAAAAAGAAAAAGGAAGAGAAGAAAATCAGCACAACAGATCAACACATCCAAAAAGTCTAAAAATATATGCAATATTCCACACCCATGGAACTTTCTCCCTTTCAAAGGAATGGGGGGTGGTGTCTTCTCGTATCTCTTCTTTAGGGTCATATTTATTCTCTATAATTTTGTAGTATTCACTGGATTATTTTAATTCAGTTGATTGTTTGGTGATGGTTATTTCCATTAACATTGTTGTAGTCATGGTGTATATTGTTTTCTTGGCTCTGCTTACTTCACTTAGCCATTCTTTCCTTGCTTTTCTGTATTTAACATAGTCAACCTTTCTTACAGTACAGTAATTTTGTATTATATTCACATATCATAATTTGCTTAGCCATTCCTTAATCAGTGGACATCTGCTTTGTTTACAATTCTTTGCTTCTGTGGAAGGAAGGAAGGGAGAAAGGAAAAAAAGTGAAGGAAGAATGAAAGAAAGAAGGAAAGGAAAGAAGAAAATGAACATTTATTAAGCACCTTGTATGTACTAGGCACTGTGCTTAGAATTTGTAGGTATTTTCTCATTTAATCCTCACAACAACTTTGAGAGGTAGGTTCTATTAGGAAACTCAGGCTGACAAGGGTTAAATGATTTGCCCAAGGTAACCCAGGTAGGAAGTGTCTGAGGCTGGATTTGAACTCAGGTCTTCCTGATTCCAGGCCCAGTGTTCTATTCACTGAGCCACCTAGCCTCTTCTAAAGTACTGCTATAAATATTTTGGTGTATATGTGGGCTTTCTTCTTATCAATGAATGACCTTGGGTATATATGCCTAATAGTGGAATCTCTGAGTCAAAGGGTATAGATTAGTCACTTTATTTGCATAATTTTAGATTGCTTTTCAAAATGATTGTACTGATTCACAGCTCTACCAACAATGCACTAGTGTGCCCTTCTCTTCCCACAGCCCTTTCAACAATGACTATTCCCAGGCTTTGTCACTTTTGCCAGTGTGCTGGGTTTGTGGTGAAGCTTTAGGATTATTTTGATTTACATTTCTTATTTTTAGTGATTTAGAGTTTTCTTATAGTTATGATGATATGGTTATCTTTGTCTTTTGAGAACTGTTTGTTCATATACTTTGACTTCTTACCTGTTAGGAAGTGGTGAGGAAAATCTTCAGGGGATGGTAGAGCTCTAAGAAAAACAGCCACGGGCTCTACAATTTGCAAGTTTCCCACCCCAATGGAAGGAAACTCACTCTCAGCTGTCTTTTCTGTGCCTAGTAAGTTGAATTTCCTGGGCCAGTGTCTTTTTTTTTTCCCCAAGGACAACTTATATTTAAACATCCCTTTAAGGTTTACTAAGTTCTTTCTTAAGAGAACTTTGCAAGGTAGATAGTAGGACTATCCCCATTCTGCAGTTGAGAAAACAGGCTTAAATGGGCTAAATGATTTGCCCTTGATCACATAATGACTCATAATTTGAAGCCAGGTTTCCCAACATTTTAGTCCTGAGCTTAGGAGGGCCCTATTTCCTATGAATTGTTTGGCTTTTCAGCCTTGATTTTAAACACAGAAATGTGTTTGAATTGGCTGTTTTCTTTCATTAAAGAACTGTAGACTCCCATGGTTCAGATGCTTGGTTGTGGAGAAACAAAGGCTTAATAATGTTGTAAGCTTCTTCTGTTTTAATAAATTGGCAGAATACAAGTGACTATTAGTGAATCCCAAACAGATGGAGTGAGAATTTTTTTCCAGATAGGAGAAATATCTGCTGGAGCAACAACTGGCCTGGCTTTAATCTTATACGGCCATGAACAAAACATACTTACTTTTTATTAAGATATGAATTAAAGTGCCAGAGAACAAGGGAAGCACAGACACTCCCACTGAGTTCTCAAACAGTTTAATAGTGGCAGCTCACAGTTTTGTAAATGTCTGCTATCCAGCTCTGCTATACCTTTATTTAAAAGAAAGAAGACATGTAATGAGAAGTGACAAGTTTCCTAGAATTCTCCTTCTCTCAGTGAACAACTGAGAGCCTTGCATACTCAATGGCTTTGATTTTTATTGGCAAATTCCAAGGTTGGCAGAGTGGCAGTCTAAATTCCTTTTTGTGTTTTTCCACTCTTTCAGTTGTCTCTCGCTTGGGAGTCTTGTACCACGTGCATAAAAATATAGTCATTTTTACTTATTTGTACCTTTGCACAGACATGTCAGGACTTTCCATGCAATAATTCTTTACCTATGGTGTCAGCTGCTGAGGAAAATTGACTTGGAATGCCTGATCTTAGTCAATTTCACTCAGGAGCAAGAAGAAACCAAAAAGGAGACAGGCAAAATAGTTTATTTCATAAATTCCTGAGAAAAAAAGAATCAATGTCCTGTCAGTTGCATTTGAATTACTGATCAATCCATGCTTTGTTGTCAAATTTATTGTATAGGACTTATGAAATATTCAGTCTCTAAGGATTTTTAATTTACTTTCAATAACATAATCTTTAACTTTAAAATTTACTGTCAGATATTGAAATTCTCCCATTGTTGAATCCTAGGTGTGAAGCTATGTATATCATCTTACGTACTGAATAGACACCCAGGTCAAGTTGTAGTCCACACTTCTCTGTGTTAAAAAAATAAAAAATAAACAAAAAATCCCCAAAACAAAACCTTACATTACTGCAGCATCTTACCTCCAGATGGGAAGGTGGTCACACCATCTTGTTTCTAATGCTGCTTCACTGGTCAGCTAGCAGGTGATTTTGGTTATTAATGGATCCATTTTTTCTTCCTTTAAGGTTGGATGCATTACCTGTGAAACATATCCAACCAGGCAAGGGAGGAGCTTCTGAACCTCTGACTTTTAATGACAAACTGTGGGTTGTATTGAAATTGTAACTGTGTTTCTCCACTGGAAGTTGTGTCTTTATTACTAGAAAGGAAGTATAATGACCCTTTTTAGGAAGATCAGTAAATTGAAAATGCTTAATCTATTTCCAGTTGAATTTGGTACATGGAAATGTATTTGCTTCTTAGAACTTGCTGAAAAAAAAATTTAGTTCATTAGGGTTTTTTTTCTTCAGAAATGTGACACATTCTCTACTATTTGATAAATACTATTGGTTCAACAAGTGTTTTGTATTGAGATTAGGGCAAGTAAATTCCAGGTCTCAAGCAATATTTTCCATTTTTAAGGAAATTGCACTTTGTTTTTTGTTTTTGTTTTTTTGGCTAGGCTATGGGGTAAAGTGACTTGCCCAAGGTTACACAGCTACTAAGTGTCAAGTGTCTGAGTCTGGATTTGAACTCTGGTCCTCCTGACTCCAGGGCAGGTGCTCTATCTATTGCGCCACCTAGCTGCCCCGTGGCAACAGCACTTTAAAACTTACAAAGGCTCTCTTCACAATAGTCCTGTGAGGAAAGGAATTGTAAATATTATCTATCCCCACTTTGTAGCCAAGGAAGCTGGCACAGAGAGGCGAGGGACTTGCTTGAAAGTTCACTGGGCTAGTTAGCAGCACAGCCAGGTTTCTCATTCCAGATTTAGTGCTCTTTCTGCTACGTTAAATTGCCTTGTGATTGGTTGGTTTGCTTGTTTGTAATGTTTGCTGTGTCATTGTCTACTTAGCACTGCCGGTTGTCTTTTCTAGATTAAGAAATGTTAACTATGATTATATAGTTTGTCTTTTTGAAGTCACTTTAATCAAGCAGTAAATATTAATTATCCACTAGATAAAAAGTGCTTTAAAATTTGAGCCATAGATTCAATTCTTAAGCCATGGTTTGCTTTTTAATGTATGTGTGTAATGAATATTATATGGATATTTTTGTCACCTTATTGTCAGACCAGATTGGGTGGGATGGTGCCTAAAAAGTTAGACTATAGAGAGTTGCCAGAAACAGGAATTAGGTCATCAGTACATCATGTAAATATAATGTATACCATCCCGATTTACCTCACATATGTAGTATTTGATGCTACAGGTTCATTGCTTAGAGGGATAGTTGTACAAAGTGGTTGATCATCTTTTTAAAACTATTTTGGTATCATATTAATTAATAATAGAAAACTCAAATGAATCTAGTCTAATTTGCTAAACTGTAAAACATAGCTTGAAAAATTGTTAAAAGTTTTGCCAGTTGTAACTCAATATTCTATAGTAGTTAATAATGTTCCCTTCAGTAGTATTGTTCTCATTTTTATTTTAGTCAAGTTTAAAATTTTAGTGTTTGGTGAAAAGCTTTTAAAAAGGAGCTTTTAAATGCTTGTATTGGTTATAGTAACTCTTTTAGCTTAAGTATCTCCCAGTGCTACATTGAAGATGGCTTAATTTTCTCTGTCCTTTTTCCACAGCTGTGATTGGGTTATTATACCCCTGCATTGACAGGCATCTGGGAGAGCCACATAAATTTAAAAGAGAGTGGTCCAGTGTAATGCGATGTGTAGCAGTCTTTGTTGGTATAAATCATGCCAGTGCTGTATCCTTTTCACTGTAATGAAATGCATAATAACAAAGCAGCTTCCCATGAACCAAAGGTTAAACAGCCCCTTTCAGTGTAACTGTTGTCAAAATTTGATATTCCCACTTATTCATAAAGAGAATTTGAAATGTGTTGTTAAAACATCATGGGAGCAGTTATATACTTATGTAGGTGAAGTGTTACCTTAAAATACGTAATTTTCAGGTGTATCTTTTAAAACTGTTCACAGTTTTAGTATTTAGTTCTTTGGATCAAGTTTATTACATCTAGGTTATTAATTTCAGGAGTGAAACTATGTTCTTAAGAATTTCTTTTATTTTTAAAATAAGGATGTTTCTTTTATGTTTTATCCTTAAGAAATGCATAGAGTTTGGGTACTTGTCTTTTAAATTTTGTCTTTTTCTGCCTTGTCAAAATTTTAAGAAGCTATAAAATATTTGAAAGGTAGACTGTTATTTGTTTGTCTTAATAAATGACAACAAAACACCAAAAGAACAATATTTCCCCCAAACAAGAATAAGTAGAAACAGTGAACCTAGAAATTGACAGGTAAAATTCTTAAACATACATGCAATCTTAACTCTTTGGGATCAGTAATCTAATCTTTTTCTTTAATTTTGGGTATCATCTCAGTACAAAATCACTACTGTAAATAGAAGTTCAGGGTTTTTAAAATAATTGTTTTTAATCACAATTTTTCTTCTTGGCCTTTGTGTACCCATTTTTTCTGGGGAGTGGAAAAAGGATGTGGAGGCATAATGAGCAAAGGCTACTGTACTCTTAAATGCCTCTTTCCTTTTCATATTAACTACTAATAGGTTATGTCAGGCCTGTCACCCATGCTTTGAGCTACTAGTTGACTTTCATCCCAGAACTGGAGGCAGTGTATTTTCATTAATTATTGTAATGTAGAAGGGGATTAGGATAATCTTGACTACCTACTCCCCCTCCCTTCCTTTGCTTTTATCATAGGCCATTTTGCAGTTTCTTTGTTCTTGTTGTTCAGATCTCCTTGCCTTTTTTATATAACTCTTCTCCCCATTCCTCCCCTCCTCCCCTGATTTACCTTGTGACTCATCCTTTTCCTTATCTAAACCATTGTTGGCACCCTGGGACCTACATGGAGGAGTTCAGGAGCTATAGGAATCATTTCGTCCTGGATTTGGACTCACAGAACCTGAGTTCAGATACTTCCTCTATCACTTAAAAACCTGAGTGAACCTTGTGCAGGTCACAAGTCATGGCTTTTTGGTCCTGTTTTCATCTTTAAAATGAGGGGTTGGACAAGAAGCCTCTGAGATCTCTTCCAGCTGTAATTCTGTGAGTCCGTGTTTTCCTGGCTCTGTTTCCTACTCCAGAGACAGACAAACTAAACAACCTCATAAAAACTCTCTCCCTCTCATGGGATTCAACCTAGATGTGTTGTTCTTGATTCCACTCTAGTATAGGTATTAGGAGATGCCCTTTCTCTTTTTCTGTTTCAAACACTGTAAGCTGTAGTGCTTGAGAGTAGCAATTGTAAGAACTTTGGGGTGGGAACACTGAGAACATTGGTCTGTGTTGTAACTTGCTGTAGTTTTAACAAGAGTTCAACTGTGAAAGAGTAACTAGAGGGAGGGTAGGAAATAGTCTTTTCTGTTCTTTCCAAATTTAAAGAAATTAGAGTTTTTGTGATAAGGTAAAATGTAATTTTTTGGGTCTAATAAATGTCTAGGCTGTGCAAATATATACTTGTGCATAGAAGCATATGAATGAATGAAAATCTTTGAGACAACATTGTGGGCCTTTATTATCCTAATTCCACATTGATGATTTATTCTTTCTGTTTTGAACAGTCTCAAGATGTTAATTTTATTCAGTCCTTTGAATTTTGTGGTCATGTAGAAAATAAATCATATAGGCTTAAGAGGGACTTAGAAAGTAGAATTTTAGAGCTCTAAGACCTTTATTGTTCAGTCATTTCAGTTGTGTCCAACTTTTTGTGATCCCCATGTGAGGTTTTCTTGGCAAAGATACTAGAGTGATTTGACATTTCCTCCTCCAGCTCATTTTACAGGTGAGGAAACTGAGGCAGAGTCAAATGACTTGCCCAGGGTCACGCAGCTAGTTAGTGTCTGAGATTGCATTTGAACTCAGATCTTCCTGATTCTAGGCCTGGCATTCTATCCACTGTACTTCCTAGCTGCCTTGAAGAGACCTTAAAGTTAGCAATTTAATAAGTAGCCACTGTGTGCAAAGCACTGTACTAATGATATAAAGACAAGAAGGGAAATAATCTCTGCCTTAAAGGAGTTTATGTTACACGCATATCATTTAGGTCAAGTTTCCTTTACTGATGAAAAAAGGTCTTTCAAATCTGAATGATCCTGCTGCATTTTAAACTAATTTTTCTCTTCCTTTCTTTAGTGGAAGATTACCAGAGGCTCCCTCCTTTCTAATAATTTTCCTTTTATTTTCAAGTTTTGTTCCTTTTTCTTCATTGCCTTTATCTTAAGGTATATAGCCATTGTTTATGTTGTGAGAATGTGGTATTTAATCTCTTGGACTTTCTAAAGGCACATTGCATTTTGAGACATACTGGGACATATCCTTCTATTGCTCTTTTTTAAGTCTGTTGTGATGCTCACCTCTAATGATATCCCAACCAAACTCCTTGAATGAGATCTAAAATGGATCCATCCAGTGCCAGATTTCATACTCTAGCAGTATGTTTACTGCTTACTAGAGATCAGAGAACAGTATGAGCTTTATTTTGGACTGTTAAGTTTATTGCCAACTGAAGGATAAGAAAAGCTTTTCCAACAAGTACAGCTATAAACCAGGTTATAGTACAATCTAAACCTAGACAATGAATGACCACACTTAGAAACCTTGGAGAGTTGCACCCGACTAATCCTTTGTTACTGAACACTTCAGGCTAAGTCAGGTAGAAGAAGTGCTGGTTGCTGGGAGGAGAAGAGAAGCAATAGGATATGTTGAAAGGAAAAAGAGCTCCTTGTGGGATATTTTTAATGCTGTCTACTGTACTTGTCTTTCTGTGCAGTGAAGGCAGAACTAGATGGTCTCGAGAGAAACACTGGACACTTCCCCCCCACCCCCAATCCCAGAGAGCTTCATATGTCTGAAGAGCCATAGTGTGGCCTTGTGGGACATAGATAATGCCCTTTTAATGACATCTGAAATTAATACCTTTAGTATAATCCTTTAGCAAAGAAATGAGAAAATTGAATTTGCAAAGCTCTGTTTTGTGAAAAGAGATTTGGGAAAGAAAAGAGCCACACATTTGTGAATAGATGCTTAAGTAGGTGCTTGAAATAAAATATCACTTGAGCAAACTGTCCTATACCAAAAAGTCTCAGACACCAAAATAACGTGACAGGTTGCAAGATAATGCCCATTTCAAGGCTTTATCCACAACAAATTAAAACTAGAACAGTTGACATAATAGAAAGGCATACTGTGTCCTTGGTACTCTTGTTTCTGAACTGCATTATTATAAAATGTGTCTGTCAGTAAATCACATAGAAAATGTGGTACCCTGTTAAATAGCTGTCAACTCTTCTATTTTCAAATTCCTGTGTGATTCTCAAGTAATTCTAAACCAGTTTCAGAAATAATCTCATGAGGACTTTTTTTTAAAGCCGAAAAAACCCCAGCCCTAAAGCCGTATATTAATTTTTAGACCTGTGTTGAGAAGCTTTCAAATATATTTTTAGTAGAGGAAATCATGCGTCATAGAATTAGACCTGATCTTGTAATTGAAGAAAGGATACACTGTTTACTTTTGGGACATGTTAAAGGGTACCATATTCTGTTTATTCAATTGTCCATGTCCTCCGTTACCTCAGTAAATATTAGTGATGGTAATGTTACTAATTTCTCATGCATTAAAGTACTCTCTGTTGAACTGAAAAACAGTATGTTTGAAAGTGCGCAGTTAATATTCCTTTCTCGCTAGTAGAATCCAGTCCAGTGTTTCTGTTGATTTAGAAAAATGCCATTGTTTTGCTTTGGTTGGAAATTTTAAAATGAATCCTTAACAGTAATCACAGAAAGTAGATTTTGACAACAATATACAGTTGTCTCTCACACTAGCTGCACTATCCATTGGTCTGTGGTGGACTTTTGATAGATCACGAAGTGGTTTTGGCCTTGGAGTAGGAATTGCTTTCTTGGCAACCTTGGTCACTCAACTACTAGTCTATAATGGAGTTTATCAGTAAGTATTTGTCTTTTTGGTGGAGGTTTATGATGAATGAAAAGAAAAATAGATTTTAAATTTAAACATATTTAGAAACTGAGTACATCCAATTTATTATTTTCATGATAGTTTTCTTGCTAAGTCAAATTTTTTCTGGTGGTAGTTTTCCTTTTTCTCTGTGCCACGAAAATTTATTTCTTTTATTCTAGATATACATCTCCAGATTTTCTTTATGTTCGTTCTTGGTTACCGTGTATATTTTTTGCTGGTGGCATAACAATGGGAAACATTGGTCGACAGCTGGCTATGGTAAGTTGAAGCTTATCTGTATAGTATTTTTGTTAGTGGCATGTTTTATTTCATGGTCACCTATCACTTTAAAGAAATTTGGTTTGTGAAGACAAAATTCTTAAAGATCTGTCTACTTTGGGAATGTGTTGAAATCAATAATTTGTAGGAGCTGTTGAGTCGAAATGATATAAAAAAGATAAATGTCATTAAATGAGAAACTGAAAAGGATTTATGTGACCAGCACATCACTTTCAGTTTGAATTTGCAGTGTACATGTAAACTAGGTAGTGGCTCACTCAGAATATTTCTTAGTTAAAAACTCATTGGAAAGTTTTGCCACATTTTTCTGCCATTTTGTTGGAATTAGGGTATTAGTAATTTTTACAAAGCTACTCCTTTGAGAGTATCTTCATTTGCTTTTGAGCAAGTTAGATTAATTAATTGTCTTTAGTAATCACAACATCTAATTAGCATGTCTAGTACTTTCTGTTATCTTCAATCAGTTGTGCAAAACCAGTGCTTAAATTTTTAAGAGTATTTTCTTTACGTAACAGTGTTTGATTTACAGAATAATTTGTAATGTGCTAGTGCATTCTTTACTTTATGATCCATACAAAAAGACCTACTTATTCTTTTTGTTTTATGCTAGTAATTCTAATCTTAAATCACACATATTTATGCAAACAGTTGTGCTTTCTTCCTGTCTTTTAAGCCTTTAACTAAGCTCTTTAACTATCTGTAGATATTTCTCCATATTTTGCCATTTTCTAATAATTCTGCAAAGCTTTATTTTAGCTTTATAGTTATTTGGAAACCATTTTATAAAAGAAAGCTTCATTTGTTAACTTTTTAATTTTTTGCAGTATGAATGTAAAGTCATTGCAGAAAAATCTCATCAAGAATGAAGAAAGCAAAAATGTGTTTTTGTACAGAAAAAAAAAGCCAACCAAGATTTAAAGAAGCCTGTAAATGATAGAGATACCAAGAAAACATTGGACTGTAAAATTGCTAAGATGCAGTTTTTCCCTTCAGTGATATATATTTCTGCAATCTGTGATTGCTACTTCTGTAAATCAGTTACAAACCTTTGTGTATTTGATTTAAGTAACTATAAAAAAATGACGATGCACCACAAACAAGAATATTGGTTAATAGATGGGTTTTAAATTTTTTTTTAACATTTATTGTGTCACAGTGTTAATGTGCCAAAACATTCTATTGTCATGCAAAAAATGAGTATCTCATGAACGTTTTAAAAAATTATTGAAATGACATAAAGAGGAAAGCCAAGAATTCAATTGAACAGCTGATATTTTCTCTTTTATTTTTTATTTTCTTGCCTTTTATTTTTCTATGAACAGCAGTGTGAGTTATGGGTACCCTACTTTGTGGTTGGGATTCTATCTTAATGTGTAAACAAAAGCCTAGAGTATTTGAATTTTTTGTCTTTTGTGATAAAAATAAACTTTTTGTGACATGTTTTTAAATGCATATCTACCTGCAATACTGGGGAGGATCCAAAGAATAAACACCTGTTTAGACAAATATTATACTAGTATGTGAAGCCTGTGAGAGAGTATCAGCATTATTGTTTTTCAGTCTGAGTTTAGGAGAGAATGGAGTAGGTGAAAATAAGGGTCATGAAAGAGCAAAACTAGAATGAATGTGAATTTTGGGGGAAAAAATGGCTTTCTGCAACTACGCAATGTTTAAAGTGGCTTTTTAGTGGTCACAAGGAATTTAGCACCTCTTAATTCTTTTGCACATATAACAACCCCCAGATCTGTAGAAATGAAGGTTCTAATGCTGTTTGGGGGTTCTGGTAATGTTAACAAACCATTTTGGCTTGGTTGACTTGTCATTGGAACCCTTGGATTTACAGCCTCATTATATGCAATTGGGGGCATGTAATTTTTTTATGTATTAACATACCCAATAGTGAAGAGTTCCAGTCTATTGGTTAAATATGTATTGAGAGTTTTATGCATATTAAAGATCTTGTTTAAAAGTTCTGTGCATTTTATCTGCTTTTTAAGATTATAGTCACTTAAGAATAGTTTTAAGCAAATTATTACTGAATTTCCAAATTTCATATTTGAAATTGATAATAATTTTTCGCTACATGGGGAGAAATTATTTCAAAATCGTCTATGTATGTATGTGTGTGTATATGTGTATATGTAGGTGTGTATGTGGTGTGTATGTATACATATATAGGTACATATATGCCCACATTCTCCTGTGATATTAAGTAGCTTTTTAAAAATAAAATTTAGTTTAGAGAACTTGTTACTAGACTAAGACCTTTTGTGCCAAATTTTAATCTGCTTTCACGTTTTAAGGCTGGTAATTATGAAATCCTAAAAATAGAATTCGTGCTAAACATGTGGGTCCAGCCTTTGCTACAATAGCGTGTATAGGCTACTATAAATTATTATTCTATCTTCAAGAAGCTATTGTTAATTTAGAATAAATAAATATGTATTTTAGATACAGTTTTGTAAGCACTATAAAATTTTTACTAATAAGTTATAAGATTGCTGATGTACTTAAAGCTTGCTTTTAAAAGCAAAATGCATATTAATGTATAATTATTGTTTTTGTCTTTTTTTTGTCTTAGTAAATGATCATATTGTGAATCAGCCTGTGAATGGGCCAAATAATCTATACAGTTTTAATTTGTAAAAAGAAATAATGAAGAGGAAATAAGTCTATTAATAGAGATTATTAGGATATGCATAGACCATCAGGCTTTTAAAAATGTTTTGCAGATTATCTGAAAAACTAAAATGTAATGAATTTGGCATTAAGATCTTGTATAGGCACAGTTAATAATTATATATTAGTCCTGGAAGATTGTTAAGCATTTATTAAGTACCTGTCATGTATAGTACGTAGCCTGGTTTTTGGAAAAATAAGCCTATAGGTCCAGTTGAGAGATTGGCATCAAAAATCAAATCTCTTACACGCTTTCTTCATCAGACATGGGGCTTAACTTTTAGATTGGGTAATTTTCAGAACCATCACTTGAAGTTGACACAGATTCCCAACAACCTTTAAATATTTCATTAGTACTTCAGTGATATATTTTATCATATATCTAATTCCAGAGCTTTTTGCATTTTTATAATCTTCAACTCCTTATAGATGATTACTTTGTCAGTGTCAGTTCCCTCGACTAAATGCCAACGTTAGTTCTTTTTCATTTCTCATAAATTAGTCTCTTGAGCATCTTACAATCATTTCCCTGTAGTTTTCCTATGGATTTTATTTTTTTACTCAGAATGTGTTTGATATCTACTTGTCAAGAAAGCCAACAGTAAGGGTGATTGCTAGATTATTGAAAAGAAGACAGTAAACGTGGAAATGGAAGACAACACAGATAACTTCATGATGTAGTAAAATCTTGTGACAATGTACATTTAAGGAGTGTATTTAAAATTTTTTATGTTGAACAGGAAAAACTCATGTTGATGTCTAAGAAATAATTGATTTCAATGATATACATATCTTATTCTTATCTTTTTTTGGTATCCTTAATTTTTAAGGAGATACAAATTAAGTTACAACAAATGTTTTTCATGTTTTATTGTTTTAGAATAAAGAGACAGGAACTGTGTCTTCTTCATCTGTGCATCTACTCTAACACCTTGCCAGGTGCCTTGAGCACAGTAGGCATTTAGATGATGGATAAATGCATGAATGAATGAATTTTATTCCCATTTGGTTCTCTTCTTTGTCTGCCTTGTCATTCCTAAGTGAAGTGAGAAAATGATTTCTATGTTTTTGCCTTATAGCATGTTACATAACCTTCAGTCCCAAGAAGCAATGCTAGATAAAACTCACAGAGTTGGGAAGGGATAACCTTGAGGAGAGGGAAACAAAAGAAGTGAGGAAGGACTCACATCCTCTTGACTCCCAACAGACTGTGGTAGAGGAGAATGCACCCATTCCTACGATGGCTATACTGAGAGACTTCTGCTGATGAATTTGTTTACTCTACCTTAATAAGGAGAACATAAATGGTCTTTTCTTTCTCTCTCCTACCCCACCTCAACCTCACGATTCTTTTAATCTGATAAATTCTACAGTTTTTCTCCAATTTCCACGCCACACATCTAGAGTCTCTTCATCTTTCAAGGAGGTTCTAAGTCTGTGATCTTGATGGGCAGGCGTTTGAGATAATACTCACATCAGGTAAAATCCCTTTGAAAGGGGATACCATTACAAGAATGGTTCTCTATAAGGAAACTCCATGGTGCATCTTTGTTTTGTTGATCTAGTTACAAAGAGTTCCCTGCATTGAATAATTCAGTGCTCTTTCCTCTATATAGTAATCACTTTCACTTTGAATAACTAGACTAGATGGAGTATTCTTGGATATTTCAAAGTCTTAGTAGTTTTAATTCTTAATAGCAGAGGCTTAAAGCTACTGAGATTTTTGGAACGCCCTGTATTTGCACTACATGGGGGGAAAAGTTTAGATTTTTTTTCTTTGTTCAAGAAATTGTTACTGGAGGATTATCTCTTTATGCTTCCTTTCTCCCCAGTAGTCCTAGCAGAATACTAAGTGCTTAATAGAATTCCATAAATTGTTTTAACTGATAGCTGTCATTGCCCCAAAATCATCATAGAATTGAGCTGGAAGGAACTTGAAAAACCATCTAGTCCAGCCCCCTCATTTTGCAGATGAGGAAACCAGAGAAGGTGACTTGTTCAAAGTCATGTAGGTACTAAGAGGCAGAGCTCAAATTCAGGTCCTGACTCCAAATCCAGGGCCCTTTCTACTATGACACATTCATAGCATTTTTGAGCACTTGGTTACAAGATAGCCAGGCTTCAGCATTTCCGAACTAGTGTGATTTCAAGCAACTTGGTGCTCTACTACAGCAAGAATTTGGTTATCCTCTTGAGTTCATTACTGTAGCTGTGTTGCCTTGGGGAGATGGCAACCTATCTGAGCTTCAGTTCTCTCATCTGTAAAAGAGAATTTTTGCATTACTTATGTCTTATAGTATGGTTGTAGGAATCAAATTTGTTAATGCATAGCTAGCGTGGTGGTACATTGGATAGCGTACTCAGGAAGACCTGAGTTCAAATCCAGTTTCAGACACTAGGCTTATGACCCTGGGCAAGTCACTTAACTGCTACCTGCCTCAGTTTCCTCACCTGTAAAATGGGAATAATAATAATGGCACTTCCCCTCCAGGGTTGTTGTGAGGACCAAATGAGATAGTGTTTGTAAAGCACTTAGCATAGAGCCTGGCATGTAGTAGGCATTTAATAAATTCTTGTTTCCTTCCTGTAAAGTACTATATAAATGCAAGAGATTGTCATAAACCTTTTCACTATGTGCAAATGGCACATTTGCTTCTGCAACACATTCAAGAGAAAATGTACTTTTCTGCCTCTCTTCCTATCAGCACTTATGAAATCTGTGAAACCTGTCATCTTTCTTTGTGATTTACAAGATAGACTTTTCTAGGGTATGTCAACAGTTGTGAAGACAATGTTGTCAAGCATCAGATATGGCAGATCAGATTGATAAGGATGTGGCTATAAAAGACTTCGCTATTGAAGGGCCTCTTGTCAAAACTGATTGCTACATGTGTGCAATTTTTCCCTTTCAGTGTTTCACTGGTTGAACATTTAGTGAAGAATTTGTGGTGAAGGGTTTGTTTTCATTCTAAACAGGAAGTCTAAACAAAGATCTCTGTTTCTGACCTTTCCTTCCCAGAGATATTTTTAGTGTTTCTGGTCCTTCCCAAAGGTTTGGAGGCTTTAAAGGGAATGCTTGTGCTATAAGTGGTGGTGCCGTTTTAAAATAGTTTTCCTTTTTATCTGAAAGTAGTGGATTCACATTGTGCCACTGTTGTCCTGTGAAGCTGATTTGCTCATAAGACTCACCTCTGCCTTTTAGTATTTTTCCGTGGGACTTGCTCAGAAAGAATGGGATTGCAGACTGATTCATCATTATATGCAATTGGGTAGACAAAGAGGGGGGTAGAACAATGTAGGCAGCAAAACTATTTATTTTAGAAGAAAAGCTTTAAAAACTATTCCTTTGAAATTTGGTTCTACAGAATGAAGCTCATTTTTATTCCTTTTATAGTCTTCACGTGTCAACTTAAGAGCTTGTTGGAACGACTGTCCCACTGTAGTATAACAATATACTCTCTTGAAACAATCCTTTTTGCTTTGCACAAACCTGAAGATCAACAAAAGAGGACTTTAAAGAGATAGTAAGTGACATACCGTCACCTTAGTCTTGCTATGGATGTAACTGGAAGTATATTTTCTGTGTATAGTTGACTTGTGAAACTATCATGTTTAAAGTATAACTCAAAAATGTTTGTAAAAACAACTATTAGTGGAATTATCCATATGCCTCTATCCTGGATGATGTCAGCAGTGTTCTTCAGCAGTGAAACTGGGAGAATATATGTTGACATAAATCTTCCTCTTCCTGGAATGTATATATTATTGATTATAACCAGATTGATTAATTTTTTGCTTTAGAGAAATCAATTTTTTGGATCAAATACCTTGTCCAAAATGCAAATGACTGCATACTCTTATAAATGTTTGTCAGTTAATTTAAAACTTCTTACTACACAATTTTCTTTATTTCGTTGCTTTCCATTTCATAACAAAAAATTTGCCAAATAATAGAAAAATTAAGTATACTGTAATTATTTTGGATAGTGACTTTAGATTTAGGGAAGCAACGTTGTGCCATAATGTAAGGACACTGGATTTGGGAAATAGATGACCTGGGTTTGAGTCCCAGGTCTGCCACTTACCATCAGTGTGACTATGAGCAAGTCATTTAACTTCTGAATCTCAGTGTCTTCATCTGTAAAGTACTGCTTTAATTATTTGTTGTATGCAAGGTACCATGTGCACCCTAGGGCTACAAGAAACAAAATGGAAACAATTCTTTCCTTGAGCTTACCTTTTACTAGGAGGATAGAACAGATGCAAAGAGAAGTCAGTGTAAGGTATTTGAGGA